GGGTGGGCGGCTTGTTTTACAACGTCGTTGCCAAGCGACGAAAACCCAACCCCGATGGCAAAGACCGAGGGGGAGGGTGGGCGGCTTGTTTTACAACGTCGTTGCCAAGCGACGAAAACCCAACCCCGATGGCAAAGACCGAGGGGGAGGGTGGGCGGCTTGTTTTACAACGTCGTTGCCAAGCGACGAAAAACCAACCCCGATGGTAAACACCGGTACAGGGGGCAGATGGGGAGGTTTGTTTCGGTGCGCTGTCTCTCCCTCTATCATCGCGTCACCAATGCGGAAAACAAGGCGCAAGGGATAAATGTGGTCGCAGTCTTCTAAATGATAGCGGACGCAACAACAACAAGGCGTGAGCCAAAATAAACTGGCCTTCAACGCGACGGCAAAACATCACTCGCCGTTGGTGGCGGGAATGTTCGAGAAACAACAACCAACAGACTCCTCGAGATGCATCATGACACGGCAGTACGTCACACAATTGCAGGGAACGCCTAATATATCACACATCAACCCCCCTCTGCATCTCTTCCAACACCGGGTCTCACACCTCCTCTTGACGCCTCGAGCAAGTCCTTTACGCGGTACCAGCAGTCCCTCGATCCGTCGCGGGGCTCCGTGGCTGGAGGCGGCAGGTCGTCCCCCCTTACAACGAAAACCGAGTACCCGTCTTCTCGCAGCTGGTGCAGGTAAGCTTCAAGAGCGAAGGTCGTGATTCGCGCTGCAAGGGTATCCACGAGACGAGAGAAGGCGTAACCGTCGAGGGGGGGCGGTCGTGTGTGCGCCAATACAAGCCCCGCATCATTTCTGTTGTTGCTATGGAAAAGCCAAAACACCCACGCCAACAGCACACTCTGAGAGGGTGGGTACCCCTTCAAGTCTCTCCGTACACGAGCGTTCCAAAGCGACTACAACACGTCCGTTGAGACGGCGGTGCATGTAAAGTCTCGGTCGAAACAGCAGTCGGGAATTCGGCAGAAAATATATTACATAGCCGGAAAACGTCCATCAATGAGGGGGGTTGGTCTTCTTTCCTCTTACTTGGGTATCCGACGTTCCTCTTACAGTCGAGGGACCTGTATAGTGCCGGTACGTGTACAGAACGTTCACCGGCACTGAAGCGGGCACCCAGCACTACTGCGAATAGTGCCAAGACGGCACTATTGAGGGCTTCGCAACCCCTCAATAGTGCCGGTCTGGCAGTATTGAGGGCGTGTTTGATTTTACGGTGTGGCGCTCACGCTTGCGGGGCCACAGAGTATTGTACGATATGGATCGACAATAGTGAAGTTCAACGGTGAGTGTGGACAAACTTTATCCGCTCTGTCGAACCCACGAAGAGTTTGTTGAAAAAAATAATAGTTGCATTTTGGGTTACAGTACCTCACTAGCACTAGTCAACGGCGAAAGGAAGATACGCGTCATGCTCCCGATTACCCGGTGACGGAAAAAACTGCTTGAAAAGCTCCCGTTCGTACAAAGCGCTTCGGTCTGCAGCAGCACGTGTACCCTATTTCTCTGTGGAGTGCCTTCTGCCTGGTTGCGTGTGTGTGTTTTTATGTTTGTAGCATGGAGCGCGCTAACCGGCTGACCAATGAAAAGACGTCACTCTCAGTGTGGTTCACAACACAAAACACTCCTTAATGCCATTAACTGGGACCCCGTGACGGGGCGGCATGGGGGAGGCTAAGCTATTCTCCGCATCAAAGACAGAAACGGTAGCAACAGAAGAAAGGTGAACACGTCTACGAAGGCTGCTACCTTGCACTCTAGTTCGTTTTGGAGTGCTTTGACCATCATCCTTTTGCTTTCACTGCCACCATCATTCTCATCATCATGCTGACAACAGTTCTTTGGCCCTGCGTCTTGTGTGTGTATGCGCGCGTTGGTGAATCGGCACTATTGGGGGTTACGGCGGCGCCCAACCGGCACCATACCGGGCAAGCTCTGGCACTATTGAGACATCCGCCTGTGTCCAGATATTTTACCTGCACTATACCGGGCACCTGGCACTATTCAACCGGCACTTACAGGTCCCTCGCCTGCGCTTGGGATATCCAGCAACCCTCTCACATTAGGCTATCCAGCATTCCCCTTACTTGGATTGTCCAGCATGGAATTGAGGTCCCAATATGCCCCTCCGATAGAGCGCACGGCCACCCAATGTGCGTGTCGGTTCAAAACGAAGGCGTCCTCGACATCGTATCTGCTCACGTACGTACGCAAGAGGAGACAGCGAAAGTACCAATGCTTAAGTACCTCCGTGAAGAAACTAAGGGAAAAAACTTGATTATATACCGTAGGTGCCTCTAGAGCTCTAGAAGACCGACCCCTGTCTTGCTCAAGACACCAACAAGCTCACCGAATCGGTTGTACACGAACCGTAACCCATCATAATCGTATTGCCGGCTCCAAGACTAAGGGATTTCACGCCCTTTGAAATCCCTCGAAGAAAAGTCACCAAATACCATGCTGGGGCTACTTCTACCCAGGCGGCAAAAGGAAAGCATGTCATTGCTGTCACTTTCCCTGGAATCCGACTCGTCACCCCCCCCAACCCGCCCTTCACCACCACGCCTCCCCCTCCCATCCAACGCACGACGCTTCGCTGCTCTTGTCCTATCTCCTCTCACCCCGTTGTGCTGAGCTTTCCGACGCTCTCGCTGCCAGCCGATACAAGGTACGCCCCGTACAGTCGCTTCAGGGCCGTGTTTAGGACCTGCGGTATGTAACAAAAAAAAAAACAAATGCATCCAAGCGTGGTGGATGGGATGGGCGCCCTTGGCTACGAGGGTAAATAGGCTCTAACCTTATGAATCACGGTTTAGTACCTGTGATGAGAAGAAGCCGGAACACATCTGAGCGTGGATACTGGGACGGGGTAGGTAGTCTTGTCCAAGAGGGTAAACCACCGGTAAGGGACGATAAGTCTGGCGCTTCCCTCTGACACTCGTCTTTGGGGTGCGTGTCTGGGTTGCTCTCCCACCACAATCACGGCAGGACCGGGACTGGCGGAACGTTAAACACTTGCCGCAGCAATTGCACGGCTCGGAGTGAGGCCGGAATGTAAACAGCGTTACAGGGCGAAAAACACAACTCTCGCTAGTCAAGACCGTGACTCCTTCGACTCTCGCGGAGAATCAGCTCTAAAGCTGTGCCACGTGCCCTTATTAGGGAAATGACAAGGAGAATCTACCAGTGTAGCTTATCTAAAGCTGTGCCACGTGCCCTTATCAGGGAAATGACAAGAAGAATCTACCAGTGTAGCTTATTGTTGTTGTTGTTGTTGTTGTTGTTGTCTTCACCTTAACAAATCGTTCCGGTCTCTACTCAGAACCTTCTACTGTCCGTACCGGCCCAACCCACCTGAATAGAGAAATTTCCTGCGGCGTCCACGTTTCCAGATTCTTCCGCCAGAAACCTACCGGCACCGGCACCGGCACCAGATGGGTCAGGGTTAGGTGTGCAGTCAGTCGACAAACAGCGTGCCGGGTTGAACTTCACCAGCAGAGGCGCTAGTGTGTGCGGTGCGTCCATCCAGCTGCTCCTGGGACGAAAAAAAGCTAACACTTCCATGTGCACGAGTCGGTGTTGACAGGTGAGCGAGACTGACTGGCCGTCTTCTATTTCCCACGCATGTGAGGAATTGGCATTGCCTACACTACCGCAAGGCATACAAGAAACTGTACTTCGCGAAGAGGGTAGAGTTCGTGCTCGCTTATACGCGCAGGAAAATTCGACAGCGGAGGGCTGGGAGAACAAAACTACTGCTAGAGTCAAACGGCAAATATTCCGTGGAAGGTCTTGCCGAGCTACTTCGACCCAAGCTTCCCAACTCCGAAGGCATGTCTTTCACCCGAAGCTGGATGTGGAAATAACAGGTGCACGAAACTGACGTCTACGGCACGCCAACATCCCATGGGCTCGGCCCGGCATGTACTGCCCCCCCTCTCCTCTACACAATTTCTTATCCCCGCACTTTGCGTCCGAGGCGCATGGCTCTGCCGACCCTGACACTGCGAAAAAAAATAGTACCAGTTATACACAATCTTGCATGATACACCTCCGATATTTGATGGAGTCGTCATCCACGTCTCTCGGGCATTGCTTAAAAGCTTCCCCGCCTACGCTGCTACCACAAATACATGCTCTGTTCGCTGGGCTGAACTAACTTACTTCAACGCGTCTGGGGTGTCGGAGCCCGCAGCCAGCATGTGCTGCCTCTCCTGCTCGTCGAGCTCGTGGGCGATGCCCGCCAGGTCTGCGGCGGAATAGCTCGCCGCCTGCACCAAGTTGTTAATGCAGTGCTGACCGCAGAGGCTAGACATTTGCTTCTGCAGCAGCAGCGGCAGCAGCAGCGATAGCGGTAGCAGCATCAGTTAGACCGATGTGAGACAGCAGTCATGAAAAAACATTCGGTGTGCTCATGTAGAAAAAACAATACGTTTGTTAGGGAGGAGGCTAACTTAGGATGTATTGTAGTTAGACCAACGGATCCCTCAAGGTCGAGTAACCAACAAGTAGACAATAGCCTTCAATCAGTAGAGAGTCATTGCAAACCCAGTGACTGTCAACGAAAACGGTGAGTAGTCAAATAGAGGGTAGAGGGTAGAGGGATGAAAAACACAGGCTTGGCTTCTGCCAGAAGGTCGGTGGGCTCCTGCGCGGCCGAATCAGGCGCAACACCCGTTTCTGTAATGGAAAACATTACCACAGCAGTAGCACGGGGATGGAGAAAAAGGTAGACTCTTGGCACGGGTTGCTCGTCCGGGGGGTTGTTTGTTGGTGTTTTGACAAGGGAGGTGGTGCAAGGTGAGGGAACAATAAACTGCATGATGTTCTGGGTACGCGAATATGACGGGATACTCTTGCGTATGCTGTGCGGATGGGGCGCGTGTGTGTTTGTGTGCGATTGCGAGCCATTCATGCCCTGCGCATGGGGGCGGGCGGGAACATGATTTGCGACGTCTCTGCTTTGAGAACCGAGGGTGAGATAAGGGCTATAATGAGCGGCCGAGGCCGGAGCATCAACAGTAGCAGCCACAGCAGCGCACGCGCTTGAACAGAGAGAGGCTGGCACGTGCTTGTACACGTGTGCAACGTGTTTCGAAAGGCCACGAGGCTGTGACGGAGCGGAACAAAAGGCCATCCAGCAGCACGGGGACGATGTCCCGTGCTTCAGATCGCTCGTCAAACGAAGCGTAGGTTCAAGCAGGCGCCGCACTGGGCTCCTGTGCCTCCGCGGAGTGCGGATCTCTCGCGGTTAGGGAATGTGGCTTGTTACGCGCACAAGCAACACCGCATTCAGCTTCCGCGCTCTTGATAATTAGACAAGAAGAGAGAAGGGATGGACGGCTCTAGTTTTACGCACATCTTGTGCGGTCCGAAGACTACATGGATTTTTTTTTTTCTCCCATCATTAGACTCTGTCGTCTGCCCCTCTGATCCCTATCCTCCACTTCTACTAGCTAGACGACCCAACCGGGGTCACATAGGAGGAGAGGGCTGGACCCCTCCTGCGGTTACTGCGTGAGGTATTTTCATCGCGAGAAGGGTACAGCAATCCCTTCCCTCGCGACTTACGAAGTCGATTATGGTTTACTAACAACGAGCTTTGCAGCGCGACGCTTTCATCCTAGACCAGGATTTATTTAGTGAGAAAAAAAATCACTCTGCCGGGACTCGAACCCATGACCTGGCCCTTGGCAGGCTGCGAGAGTATCCGCTTGACCACCGGGGCGACCATGGGTATTCTCACACATATCCACACAGCTACTTCTGTACATCCCCTGATGTGCTACATAGCTACATAGACTTGGACCAGAAGCAGCAGCAGCGAGCAGAACTCGAGGCGAGAAAGCAGGTAGATGAGACCGGGTCGTTATGTTCGGCAACCGGTTACACGGAGCAGAGTATGGAAACAGCAGATCACTTCGATGACGATTGACACTCACGGATAACAGCGCGTATATAAGCAGCGGAGAGATACAGCAGTACCGTAGGCTGCTGCTGTGGAAGAAACTCTGCCTTTCAAACTTCAACTGGGAACCTTACTCCGACGTGAGCGTGCCGCGCAGTTCATTCGAGCCAGACTTGGACAGACATTCGATAAGCGTGCACCTGTCATTTCTTTCTCTGTTTTTCGGTTGCGCTTTCCTTGCCTGGCCTACAGCAGCATCAGCTGATCATCCACAAGGGCAGGCACGCGGGAGAAGCACAGCAGTAGAAAATACCTTGACGGATGCATCGAACCATATCTACTACACAGGAGCGGAAACTTGCATTCCGGTGATGACTGGCCGAGACAAAGTGGCTGTCGATGGCTTGCCCGCGCGAAAAGTCGTGCATCAACGAAATAACGTCGTTCGTACCGTCGTACGAATTCGTACTACAGACTACTGCTGTATATAATGTACAGCAAGGAGCAACGAGTAGGCATCAGCGGCGGCAACAAGCAAAAAATGTCGAACGGTAACTTGACTTGCGTTGCAGTTACGATGCTAAACTCACTTGCGTCTCAACCAAAAGCTGTGGTCAAGATGCGACGATAGGTTTACCTCGTGATACACCCAGAGATCTCCGTCAGATGATGGTGCTGCCATCGAGAGGCGTGAGAGATGACGAACGAGAGTGGTGGGTGCGGTGGCACATGCCCAGAGCTCGCCGGCGTTGTCCGGGGCACCGTGACTCTCTGCCTCAAAAACTACGTACGTGCTACGGTAAATACACCGCGGGGCTACATCTGAAGCGTCCTCCTTTATTATTGTTCATATTTTTTTTGTTTTCTTATTACACAACAAATCCATCTCTATCTGTAGAAATGAGTCTAAGATAGACTAGAAATGAATCCATAGCGTGAGCGAAAGGCTACCTGTATGTCGACGGTTTCCCATACAGCATACAACGATAACACCCCTGTGGGTAACAGGCTCAACAAGGCAGTTTGGTAGCCATGTTGTGTAATCTATCTGTAGTCCATGTTGTGTTGGGAAGTTGTAGACGGAAGATTTAGGGGAACTCGGTTTGTCGGGTGTTCTATTATGGCACCCGTATGTGGTTGCGGAGCAAGCGCGTCTCGGGGTGTGTATAGTTTCGTCATCAATTTAATTTCTGTGTGTGATATATGGGGGCATGTGCGGCGCGGGAGAACATATTTTATCGGTTTCCGAGGGCTCTTTTCTCGAACGGTCGGTGCGGTACCTGTTATTTTCTTTATATCATTTTGTTTTTTTTTTCCGAGTGGTTCCCAATTTTTTTTGTTTCCCCCCGGCGTCGTATGTGCCGGGTTTTGAGACCACGGACTCTGCATTTTTTGTTGACAATAGAGCTAATGTGAGAAGCAACAACAACAATCTGGCCGTATTGGCGGCATGCCGCATGACAAAGATCACACATCCCACCACACTGACAATTGGCATGGTCTCGCGAAAAACAGTACGACCCCTGGGCGAGTACCTGGTAAATTAAGCTCAGGTGCTTGTTGTATTGTGTACGGCTGAGTATTTGTGTTGTATCAGGCCCGCCCTCCTTTCCTTGACTGTAGAGGGAAGACGAGATGATTTGCAGTACCATGTGGGCTGTTCATTATAGTATTTTAGTGTGCCTGTTGAATAATGGTGACGGTGCCCCGGAATAGTGCCGGTCATTGCTCTTCTTCTGGGAGTGTCGTGCTCTGGGCACATACCGGCACTACACACCCTCCCCCTTGTCGCTGTAGTCTTTGTAGCAAGGGATAAGCCCCGCAAGACCAATGTCCCAAACAAAGCTGATTACAAAATGAACGTTCGCTTGTCGGTCGTTTGACCAAAAAAAGCTAGACGCTGTTGATTCCTTGACATTCAACAACAGGTAACCGCCGAAATGTGAGCCTCGAAGCTGGCCCACTGACGGAGGACAAGAAAACCACAAAACAAACACAAAATGCTTCATAGTGAACCCCAACAGTTCACGGCGCGAAACAAAAAACAATAACTACTAGTTGTGCTGACCTGCCCTAAACTAGTACTGGTAAAAGTTCATGTACCAGCACACAGCAAACACCGAGCGCCACGCATCTCGTCTCCGGACGGATATCTTCGTCCCGGTCCACTATATCTATGCCCCCATACCTACTCCCAGATCCGCTCCTTCATACAATGACGACAGTACAGAACCAAGCGCGGTGCCTAGCCAGCGTCAAACATTGGGCCGTATCAACACATACATGTCGGATGGTGAGCCCACCACGTTGCACCGCCAACTCCGAACAAACACATCTGCACCACGAACAGTGGCACGCTAGACACACCTCCACCGTACACGCTCTCGTTACTGGAAAATAATATCCGTGTGTCGTTGGAGGCTTCTTCCAGCGATGCAAGGCCTTGCATCTGTGCCCTATTTCCACCATGCCGCAGGTCGGGACCCTTTCTCCCTTGCGTCTGGTGTCACCTGACGGATGCATGGACCGAGCGAGAACATCAAATTACTGTCAAAATGGAGTCTTAGAAAAACAGGCTGGGGGGTTAGCCCCCCGGCCAGACTCGAAGCCGCCCGACTTATCATTCTGCCCTCCGAAACTCAAGGGTGACACGGCACAGGGCTGGTAACGGCAAGTATTGTGCTTCGGCGTTTTGGCTCGTTCACGTGTTACATTCTCCAGGAACGAAAGTGGAGCTTACAGCCACAGGTCCACGGAAGGAGAAGACCAGTAATTTACGTGAGGCGAGTTCTTTCGGGGGGACGATGCCACCTAGCTGCCGCGCTCGTACGTGGTTGTGCTGGCCTGCTACTACATGCTACCGGTAGGAGAACGTTTTGTTTGTTAGCGAAGGCGACGCGAGGAAGAACACATCACGATGGTGGTGAGGCCCACCCAGGTGTGTGCCTCAAAGCTGCTGGCAAGTGGACAAACAGTAGCTCAAAATGGATTGATTGGCATGTACGCATCGATTTTTTTCTCAGGGTACAACTTTGATCGCTTCGTTCAGTGGATGCGAGCATATATCGAGGTGGTCAAGGAGGATGGTCGCCGTGCTGCTTCTGGTATCTCCTTCCCTCGCGAGTCTTCTTCCGAGGTAAGGTTGTTTGTGTTCATTCCCTGCGGCAGAGCAGTGGAGGTTCAAACGGAGGGGGGCAACAAGCTCCATCGGCACGCGAGCTGCCGCGTTTTTGACCTCGGTGACGTGCAGCCACTTCCACCTTTTTGGGGCTGTGTGGACGCAGCTCACAGGGCTCACAGACTTAGACTTGATCAAGATCATACTTCGGACAGACCCCGTGCTCAGGTCCCACCAAAGACCAAGAACGCGGCCGCTCGTGTGCCGATGGAGCTTGTTGCCCCCCTCCGCTTGAGCCTCCACTACTTGAACGGTAAGCGGGTCGGCTATCGCATGTCCGGCAAAATCAAAATACCGCCAATTCTCCAACTGTGCTCCGAGCCGCCGGAAAGCTCGTACGGACTGAACTGGCGGCCACCTCAGGGTTAGATCTCGCAGCTACCACAGATCTCTTGCGCTGGCACGAGTGCTTGTTTCGAGACATTGATAGGGAAAGGGAGCAATACACGTGGGACATTCAGCTACTCGGCCCTGTTGGCGACGCGAGAGGGCCGTATCGAGAAATACTTGAAAACTTGCAGCAGTATTGCTGCAAACAGCCCGCGCAGCCAAGTTTTACATCATGTACAGGAATTTGTTCTTGACTCACCTCCGCCTTCCTGGCGTGCCGATGGGAACGAGAGACCCCACCCCCACTTTGGACCATGCAGCAACAACTTCCGCCGGAATGACATCATCTGCTGCTGCTGCGGCTGGAGAAGGCCTTGGTGTTCCCATCGTGTTAGCGACGGCCACTTCCGGCTTTGCAGCCATCCGTCACCCGAGGCATGACTGGTAAGTCAACTTGAACTTGGTACCTTGTGGCGACAAACCACACCGACCGGCTGTCACGTGCCCCATGGGCGAAAAACCCAGTGGTTCCCCCCCGTCGACACCCACCTCCCGGCGTCCACAGCAGCAGTGGGCATAGCCTGGTCATCCTCTGGCCGGCGGGCTCGCTTCTTCTTCGGCTCGGTGAAACGGTCCGCGGACGGTTGCTTCTTGGAGAACGATGGATCGCGATCCCTCCACCGTTCGTTGGCAGAATCGTGGTGGGCGGGTCCATCGGCCAGATTCGTGGACAAACCGTCCTCATGTCCACGGCGCCCCCTACCATCAGCAGAGGATTTGGACTGTTCAGAAATTCTTGAGTGTGAAAGATTTGCCCTTGGTTTTTTGTCCGGCCTTGGTGTTGCCTCCCGACGGCGCTTATCGGTGAGGGACACCATGCCTTGCTCGCGGTGTGTAGCACAGAAAATCCTGGTGAAAGTCCCTTCCGTACCAAATGTAGGGTTTATGGTGCAGCCAGGGTGGGCGCACTTCTTGTTCCTGACGTCCACCATCCCCTCTTTCGAATGTGCAGAGCAGTACTCCGGTTTCGACCCTGCTGCAGCAAATGATGGCCGTTTGGGGCAGGCTGGAGCAGCGCAAAACTTGGCTTTTTTTCCCATCTTGATTCTGCTGTTGTTCTTCGCGGGTCCTGCAGCAGAGCGTAGTCGTCTGCTGTCAGTAGAATGACGAGGCGGTCGCTTGACACGTCACGGCATGTGTTCGAACAACCGCAACACACTAATGACAAAGGCTCCGGTGGAGCAGAGGGCATCCACTGATGAGAAGGTGTGTATGGGCACATGTGTAGTGATATGGTGTTCGCGGAGCCCCCATTTTTTTTTTTTTCCAGTCCCCGCCCACCCTCGAGGGCAGATCACACGCGTTCGCCCCCTATGTTGTTGTTGTTGTTGTTGTTGTTGTTGTTATCTTCACATTAAACCGTATGCCAGTTGCTAAATGCCAAAATCTAGTAAAGACTCTCAGCCCGTGGTCACGAAAGTGCTAGAGCCATCTGAGGATCTAAAGAACACGCACACAGATGACGAGAAAAAGGTGTCCAAGACCCCGAAGAGGTACACCGAAAAATCCCTGCAGCAGCGTATGCGTGCCCAAAAACCACGCTGGTTTCAGCGGGGAAAGCGTGCAATATCCCCCCCGTTGGCGCCCCCAGGGTCACCACTGCTACCACCTTTTCACCAGCCCAGGGCTCCACACCAACACCTCGGATCGGCACGAAACTTGGCGGAACCTCGATCAAGTTGTGCAATACACCGGTGAGAGGTTCATTGGTTTTTCAATGTCGGCAAGGTGGAGAAAGAAAGGGGTATATGGCTTGAGGGCACAAGAGGAAAGTTTCGGACCACGGTGACACCGGGTTTGCCAGGCAACTTTCAGCCAATTTGGTTACCATCAAAACGTGCTCTGCAGCAGCGATTGAACTGGCAGCTGACCGGGTCCGTAGATGTAGATTGAATAAAAGATGTGCACTAATTGCGATCAGCACTACAGCGAGCGAAATCGGTGCAGCAGATGTTCCTCCAAAAACGCGGCGGAACTTGCCAGCACGCGGGTTGGGTTGCACCGCTGCTATCCAGTACAGCAGGTAAAGAGGCCCCCGTGCCTCTCTTGTACTGCTGGTTTAGCCATTAAAGTAACAGGATGCTGTGTGTGTGCCCTTGGTTCACTTTCCCTCACATGAAGCTCCCAAATAAACATGTAGAGTGTTGCTTCCGTCTCTTTTGTCGGACAGGGTGATGTCGCAGGAATGCTGCAGCGCGTGCCAGCAACCAACGGCAAGAGTTGACGTTCGCTGTATGAGAGAAAGGACCGGGGGTAATGTCCGGGATTTCCTGTAGGCAGCCGGAATGGGAGACAAGTTCCCCGGCTTGAAGTGCGGCGATCCAAGCATAGGCAAGCTCGTCCTATGTAAACGTGCGGGTTGCCTGTTGGAGCTGTTCGTACTGAACCAGCAAAGGGAGAGCAGGGCGCCTACCGAACGCCGAGCAAAGCGAGGGCCGAAGTGGACGTGCGCTCCTGAACCTGTCAAGCAGCTGAAGCGCCGGTGTTTTGATCGCTACTGCACTTCGCCCGCGGCATTGGAGGCTTTGCTGGGCGTTGTTAGCATCAGCGGGTGTGTGCTGGACATGTGCGGGGGGGACGGATGATGCTGTAGCGATTCGCCTTCGAGACACGTGCCAAGTACTCACGAACGATGTGCGACCGAGGTGAGGGGATGACGCGCTTTTTTTTTTGTGTGCTTGCGGTGACAAGTAGATAGACACCCTTCCTGCTCATTCCATAGCGCTGGGTATTCTAGCGTAACATTCCCTTGAACTCCCCAGCACGAAATGAGGCCACTCGTAGGCGCATTATCAACGCTGTTTGCCTCTTGGTGTGGACGACGCCGTTGTACATGTGCCTGTCAACGTCGAGCCGGCTAGGCGAATTGACAGCAGTAGGATCAATCTGTTTTGAAGGATGCTGAGTTACATTCAACGGACCTATTTGTGCAATCTGCTCCAAGCTTACCGTTCCTTGTTTCGTGCAGGTCCACGTCGTAGATAGGCTCGCACCAGCGGACCTGCAGTAAATGAGTCCGCTCTTTGTTTGCATGTACCCTTTTTTATCGTTGAAGTTTCGCAGATAGGTTACATGTGGAAACGAAATGCCGCACATCGAGTTTTTGCCAGGCACAGATGTTGCTTGCGGTGCACGCATATGGAGCAACCCAAGCTTGACTGCATCCGATTGAGGCCAAAGCATGTGGGGGGAATTCGTAGTCTACGAGTGACCGACAGTGACGGCGGCCTTTTTTTTTCCTTTGGTGTGGTCCAAACGCTTTGGTGTTGTTTTAATCTTCCAGAGCAAGTTTTATTCCTAGGAAACAAGGGGAAAAGCACGAGTGTAAGTGCGTCAGTGTTGTTCTATTTTCTGACGCCCTTTTCATCCCTCCTGTTTGTTTACCTGTTTTTTTTTCAAGGTTGTCTCCGGACACGAACCTGGACGCGAGCTCGGCGTCATTTACGGACGATTTCCTGGCAGCACACCACGGGCAACAACCGGACTGGGTCGTGACGAGCCCCCCATACAAGGGTGCGCTGGCCTTTGTCATGGCGGCGTTGACGGTGGCGAAGAAAGGCGCGGCGCTGAAATTGCCGCTGTCGTTTCTGGAACCCTGTGCCGACCGAGCAGGTTGGCTTCAGGCGAACTCCCCGGCTCTATGCGTGATGATGAGCAGGGCCCGGTACCAACCCGCCAACGTAAGGGTGGGCGAATTTTGGGGTGTGGTACCCTCCTGGTAGTGGATATTGTAGTAGTCATAGCACGAAGCTTTTATTTGTTCCTAGTTAGAATGGGTTGTGGAGAGTCGGGAGGACGAAATCGCTCATGGACCGTTTTTTTTTCTATGTTGCGCTCAGGCTTCAGGTCAGTCCGACCGCTGACCTTAGGTGTCAGAGGGCGCGCCCCTTGCGGTTGACCCTACAAGCCAATGTCCCAACATTGAACGGTAATGCGCACGAGCAATTCATGAGTGCGCTAGGAATGAGGGAAATGTACTACTGCTGTGATCGCGATTTACCGGCATCAAGTAGCCGGCTCGAGTATATGGGGGTCAGTGCTGTTTTTTGGTGGCGAGGACTCTCTCGTTTGTGTGCCGGTGTTTCTCACTGACGTCTTCGGCAGCTTCCCTTTGTGACATGAGGCGCACGCCGCGCTGGCCGCGGCATCGGAGTGTGTGTGCCTATTGTAGTTTTGTGTGTACTACCAAAAGCAGTTGTAGCGGGTGGTGTCATGTGAAGAACAGCCCCAAATATTTGTTTGCTGTGCTTCGGGATCCGCGTCCTGTTGATAACATATTTGCAGCAAGAAATACAACGAAATATAATCAATTATCAAACGGACATCTCGTTACTCGGCGCCGCCATATTATCAGTCGACAACATCACCCGCTGCTTCGTACCCCCGCCCGACCCCTCGTTGGCGAGTTGTTTCTCATACTCTCGCGCATCCTCTTCGGAGAATCCACACACACCGGTATCCACCCCAAACGACGAATGTCCTTCTTTCTCGAAACCACCCAAACATTCGACAATCGGCGAATCATCATCATCATCAGACTCGGACTCGCTGCCACTATCATCATCGTCGGGCAGTATTTGTGGTTGCCGGCATCCTTCAACGCGTCGTAGTATGCTTGGAACATACTCGATGCCGTCAGGCCACTAAGCGATGGAGTAGAGTCAGTCCCGTTAAGAACAAATGCGGAGACGATCGGTAGCACCCTCTGCAAATTGGTGAACGAAGATGGCCAATTTTGCATTGCCGATAGATCTTGGAAACGCTTCAGGACGTCGATGCAGTTGACGTAGGTGTTACCGGTCACCCCGCTCTGTTGTCGCACATAATACGCACGTCCCGAGTCGACGGATGCACGGCGTACGCCAGGAGAGCTGCCATCCAAACGTCGGTGTCAACCGAAACTACCTGATTCATGCAAGTAGGGGCGCGTGAATTGTATCTGAGTCTTCAAAGATACTAGCTCGACATCTCAGCCTGGAAGGGACACTGACACCATACGAGCGTAGGACGCGAGAAGTCTTCCAAACGGCTAGATAAAACACCACTGACGTTCAATTTCCGAGTTGATGTTAGGACATCTATTCTGAAGAATCCAAATACGACAAGATGATGGGCCAAAATGTGCTACCGTAGCAGGACTCACCTCCACTATCACGGGATCTTCGCTTGTAGGCACCACCACCCCACCCTCTCGTACCTCCCCCCCCTGCCCTCTGCTCTCTTTGTTGTTTTTCCCCGTCATGTACGCGTGGTGGAGAGCCTGGAGCTCACTCACCCTCCCCAATACCGTTGGCTTCAAGGAGTACTATGTCAAGCTCCTTCGTATTGTACCACGACAAATAACTCTCTGTCCGCGAGCAGTCGCTGGAAAGAACAGACTCCCCGTCGACCTCCAGCTGAAGTCGTTGGAGGCACGACTCCCCATATTCCAACCCCACGCCGTCTGATGTCTTTTTGCGGATAGTATCGTACTGGTGTCGGATGAACTTGCACAATACCGAAAATACACCGTCACGGTGCTGCCGGTCCTCGAGAAAAGTCTGCCATTCAGCCGCCTCCGGCGTCTTATCTCGTATCTCAAAACCCGTGGGCGCTTTCGTGAACGGAGGTTGCGGCGGAGCGCGTGGCTTCTTCTTCGAATGTAGCTTGTGGTTCTTCCTCTTGGCGCCAGCGCTTGCGCCGGCGGACTGTCCCCGTGTCACGGATGCAAAGCTCTTCGGGGTGGGTACCAGCTGCGGCTTGTCGAAAAAAGAATCACCCGTCCTGAGATCTTCCCCTCTCTCGAGCACAGATGCCACAACAAATTGGACACCACATGCTCGGCATACGTCTACCAAGTAGGAAGTGGCGGCCTCCTCCCGCGTGCGCTGGCTGCCACGCCCAGCGGCGATTGAGAGCCATGTCAACGACGCACGTGTGTGGTGTGACCAGAGCTGACCTGGATTTTTTCCCACTGGCGCCCTTGGCGTGCTTAACGACGATGTCTAAGGTCTTCGACTTCGAGGTTTTGTGTGGAACACCAGCCAAAGAACAAAGTTGGGCGGGGACACCGAGGGCCATTTTGCCCTTACCCTTGGCAAGCGCCCCTATGGCTTTCTGGAGATCCTCGATGTGGGTCGGCGCTGCCCCCTGTGCTCGTGTTTTTGTCTTCTTTTCTGTCCCAGTGTTAAACGTGGCCAACTTTACACGCTTCCGGGCAGCGTCCTTCGCCTGCCCGCCAGGGCCGAGCTCTTCTTCGAAGGTTTCTAGCACTCCTCTCCGGCACATGTCGACCGACTTGCTGCCGGCTTCCATCATCGTGCTTTCAAGATGCGCAAGCGCCACGCGCCCATCCGCCGAAATGATTGACTGTGCCCCTTTCTCATCCCGGAGCTTGAAAGGGCTTCCCTCCGCAACGAGGGAAGCGTGGATCTTATCGACGATCTTCCTTCTGTGGTCACTAGCGTAGATCTTCCGGTTGTAGATGACACTACTGCCGTACATTTCCTTCACCTCCCGTGCGACCGTCGGCAGTGTCTGTAGCGTGAGGTTAAGTCTCTGGAGATACCTGACGTCGGTGCCCGTTGCAGCCTGCTTGATATCCTTGTTCATGGTCATCTCCTGGATCTCGTCGAGGCCCGTATTTTTACCGGGTTTCCCAGAGCGCGATAGGCTAAACGTCTCACTAATGAACAACCGCTCGGCGGGACTCAATCGCGCTATGTCTGCCAGGTGTTGGATGCACAACGCGTGGCATAGGTTTTTGTTGTACCCCAAGAACAGCGGGGCGATTTTGCGAATGGCGGCCTCCCGCAGATCAAAGTCGCCTGTTCTTATGCCGATGTACACAGCAAGGTATGCCATTCCATCGGAAAGTAGGAAGTCCGCCCACTGCCCGAAAGTCTTGTGCTTGGTCTGGTTGTCCCGGTAGCCGAGCAAGTTGGCCAGAAGTTCTTCGTCAGAAAGCCTCATCCCTCCCGACTGGGGTGTCTCCTTCACCTCGCCAATGCAAGCTCGCCATAACGCCTCCAAAAACCCAACGAAAAAGTTGTGCCGTTTGTGGTAATTTTTTCCCTCCAATTTTTTGTCATAGCAGTCGGCTGCCTTCGCCAGGGGAATTAGAGCGAATCCGCCCCACTTGCGGAAAAGAACATCTAGCGTGTGCTCCAATAGGTGCCAGTCGCCGATCCACGGTACCACCCATGCGTATTTATCCTTGTGAAGCTTTTTGACCTTGTGCACGAGGGTGAAGGTCTCCTGGTCCCCAACAACGACCGCGCGCCGCCTTCCCTTTTCCACGCCCACGTGAAGGACATCATGCAGGCCATCCAGGTACTCTATGATGTCTTCCACCGTTTTCGTGCCAAGCAGCACCACGCCGAGATAGCTCGCAATAACGTCAGAGGGTACACACCGACCCTCCACTCCCAATGCTCTCCCTGCCGCGCTATCGCGGATGTGCCTCTTTGCCACTGGCATCTCGAAGTCTCCATCGACTTTGGTAAAATCGCCGAAAACGCAGTGGAGCACCCTCGATCGGAATCCCCTCCATATTTTAACAATCCGCGGAGTAGTGCTACTGAAATCGCGGGCAAAAAGCAACTTCGGGGGTGTGTGCGTGAGTTCCCACATGCGCCCTCGACTTGTCAGAACATGGTAGTAGGCGATGCCCGCCACTAGATCAACGTGGCCGCCTTTTCCCCAGTGACGTAACACGTCCATGTTGACGTTGTCGAAGTTCGCGGCCACCAGCAATGACGTGAGCGGAATCAGCTTTGTCGAGGAAAACTGTTACAACGTAGTCAGGCACAGTTTACCATAGGTGCGACTGCGGCAACTAGCAGCCTTCCGTAGACATAATACAGAAAGAAGAGATGGTACTCAGCAGAGAACATGAGCACAAAGTTGTAGAGGAGATATGTTGGCAGGCGAGACTGTAGTTGTTTTATTGTTCCGAACCCCGAAATTCCGGTACTCGGGCCATTACTCCGGAGACCCTCGGAACCTGCTGTGTTTTTGCTGCTTGTTTTTTGTTTTTGTTTTGTTGTTGAGATGAGACACAAGCGCGCCTTCGCCCCTTGTGCTCACTCTCATCTAGCACCCATCAAAGCCTGACCAGGGAGTCAGTTGATAAGAACATCTATCTGCATTTCTCTTTCCAAAGCTCGCTCGGGCCTACCGATTTCACAGCAGTGTAGACCAACCTCTGTGATAGAGCGGTGACAGCAGTGTAACCTCTGTGGTAGACTACAAAGTCTACGAGCTACAGC